TAGAACTAAGTGACTTGCAGGGCCATTTCAGAGGGCTTTTAAAAGTCAAATGCATTGCTATGGGTCTTGAGCCATATGTAGGCTAGACCAGGTAAGGATGGCAGATTTCTATCCCCAAAGATCATTCATGAACAAGACAGGTTTTTACAATAATCAACGATAGTTTCAGAGTCACCATTACTTGGAGTAGCCTTCAATTCCAAAGCTCATTAATTTAATTTACATCTAACTGACAGCCATAAACCCACATCTCCACAGTGTTAGCCTGGGTGTGTGAATTACTAGTCCAGTGAGATTGCCACTATACCATCATGTTCCACTATTAAGGATCTATCTACTATTGCCTTGGAAAGCTTCCTTGAAAAGACTTTACTTCTTTACATCTTTCAAGGAAGAGAATTCCAAAAACTCATGACCTTCTGTGAGAAAAAAATCCACAAATCTGACTTACCCCTTATTTTTAAGCAGTGACCTCTGGTTCTGGAATCTTCCACAAGAGGAAAGATCTTTTTTATATGGGCATTGTCCAGACACCCCAGGATCTTATACGTTTCAATTAAATAATCTCTTGCTTTTCTAAACTTCCATAGATACAAGCTTAGTCTGTCCAACAGCTGCTCAAAAGACAACCCATCCATTCAGGTATTAGAGTCGTAAACTTTCTCTGAATTGCTTCCAGTGTCTTAAATAAGGATGCCAATATTCTAAACGATACTCTACATGTAATTTCACTATTTCCCTGTAGAGCTGAAGCATAACCTCCCTATTTCAATTCCCCTTGCAAAATAAGGATAGCATTCTATTAGCTTTTCTAATTACTTCCTACATCTACATGCTAACCTTCTTTAATTCATGCAATAGAACACCCTGCATCTCAAAGTTCTGCAGTCTTTCAATATTTAAATAAAATGGTTCTTTATTTTACTGCCAAAATGGATAATTTCAGTTATTTTTTGCTATACTGTATTTTCCAGATATTTTTCCACTCACTTAACCGATCTATATCTCTTTCTAGCATCCTTATTTCCTCATCACAACTTATCTTCTAACCTGTTTTTGTGTCATCAGCAAACTTAGCAGCCATACCCTCTGTCCCTTCATCTAAGTCATTTATATAAATTGCAAAAAACTATAGTCCCAACACTGACCCTATGACACACTACTCATTAAATGTTGCCAACCAGATAATTATCCCGTTTACCCATTCACTCTGTTCCCTTTTAGCTATCCCATGCCTCCACACGGACAGGTCTCATTTTCTGCAAAAAGCTTTGATATGGCTCCTCACTAAATGCCTTTAAATCCTGAAACTCCATTAAAAACAGTGCTGTAGATGTCCTTTCACCCTAATACTGCAGTGGTTCATGATAGCAGCTCATCTTTACATTCTCAAGGGCAATTAGGGATAGGCAATAAATGCTGGCCTAGCCAAAAATGCCCACATCATGTGAAAGAAACTTTTTAAAAAAGCACACCACCAGTTCCTATTTATCTACAGCATATTACTTCTTCAAAGAACTCCAATAGTTTTGTTAAACAGGGATAGATTTTTCCCTTTCTTGCTGTGACTTCAGCAATGGTGAGAAAGATGGAAAAGTACAGAAAAAAAAGAAAAAATTTTCAACACGATAAAATCTTTTGTGATTTCTCCTCTTAAGCCCTGTGTCCTCAGGGTCTTGCCAAAGGCTTCACTTCTATGTATGTGCAACTCATTAATATCCCAATTTGTCTTATTTATGCACCGCTTCCAACTCTCCATACTTGAGAAACTAAGTAGCTCAAATTCCTAATGTGTAGATCAGAGCAGGTACCTGATGGCAGCAGCTCACAAAATGCCTGTCCTGACAATCAAGTAACTGGTTCTTCACAACAATGTCACTGCATGCTCCTTAGCAATCATATTGCTTAACTTTATATTCATCAAAGTTCACTACATCAATATCATTGCTCTTGGATCAACTTGCACACCACTTCAGCCATCAATATTTTATTTTGGAGTTGAGGGACACATATGACTTGCAAGGTCATTGTGTGCAGGGACACATGTGCAACTCATGCATTGACACAGAGGGCACTTTGTAGCTCTTAAATTGCTTTCTTTGCACTCACTCATCTTGTGCTTACTTGGAGGCCGCCAACCTTTGTATACTTCATATTGCTTTCTTAACGCACATTCACTGGCTTCAGCACTGACTTACAGACTGTTAGTATCTGTGGCTTCCATTGCTTTTTAGTATAGAAGAAAGGGCTGGCAACTTGTTATGGTGAGATACATACAACAATCAAGGAGCTGGGTATGTTATTGTGTGGCTCTGCAGGCTCACCTCTCTCTGGGTGAAGAAATTCCTCCCCATTCTCAGTCCCAAATGGCCTACTGTGTATCCTTAGACTGTGACCCCTCGTTGTGGACACCACAGTTAAGAGGAACAACCTTCCTTCTTTTTACCCTGTCTAGACCTGTGAGTTTTATAGAATTTTCTGAGATCCTCAATCATTCTTCTAAACTCCAGTGAACATGGTGTTAACTGATTCAGTCTCTCTTAGAATGTCAGTTTGGCCATCCCAGAAATCAGCCTGGTAAACCTTCACTGCACTCCCTCCATAACTTAGGTCATCCCTGTCTACTATGATAATTAATTAAGTAAATAAGTGACAGAAACATCCCTCCACCTTTTCCTAGCTTCCTCTCTACTTCCCTAGTTTTTACACCTGCCTCAACATGTTTCAGGTCGAGACCATCCTAAATTGCACATTTCCCAGTACTGGTGCTAGTGCCCCAAAAAGTTGACCCCATTTCTACCACACCAGTCATTCAGCCATGTATTCATTTCTCAAATCATAATTTCTCTGTGAAATATTGCCTCGGGCCCAGGTAATAGTCCAGAAATTATTATTTTGAGATTCTGTTTCTTAATATGGTGCCTGGCTTTTCACACTGACAATGTAGTGTCCTTGTTCTATGTCATTGGTAACTACATGGATTACAATGACTGGATCTTCCCCTCCTGCTGTAAGGTCCTCTTCAGCCCGGAGCAGATCTCCTGAAGCCTGGCATTGGGCAAGCAACACAGACTTCTGAACTCTTGCTCTTTGCTGCAGAGACCTGTATCAATCCATCTGACTATATTGCCATCTAATATTGCTACATTTCTTTCCATTCTCTCCATTAGAATGGCTACCTATATCATGATAGGTAGTTTGTAACCTCAAACCTGTTGGGCAATTTCAAAGGCTGAGGTTACTTCACCCTTACACCCTGAGTTTCCTCACCTCCTACATTCGCAGACACACCTCCTTTCTATGGCAAGTGACCAAATCAAAAGCCTGTCCAAAGGCTGCCTCTTGGTATAAAATATCCATGTAACTTTTGCCCTTCTTGATGTGTTGCAGCATCTGTGATTTAGCCTCCAGCTCATAAATTCTGAACCAAAGCTGTGAGAGCTGCAAACATTGACTGTAAGCGCATTTGTTTGGAATACACTTGCATCCAGGAGCTCCCGCCTGCTACAGCCATGACACATCACCTGTCCTGGCATCCTTAGTGTGTTTTAATTAATCACTGAATTGTTTTATTCTGTCATTTTTTTTCTCTTCTTTATGTATTTTATTAATCTTACCATTAGTTTCTGTACTATTTTAATGCATAGGAATGGAAAAGACTTTAAGCACTTACCAATTACTCTTAAAGCAGCAAGTTTTGTACCTTGTAATAGAGTAAGAACCAATTTCTGGAGGCTGAAAAAGTTGAAAAAGCAAAGCAAAGTAGGCCCTCCTTCCCTTTTTTAGTGAATATCTTTAGTCACCCATCTGCTAGCACTCAATTTCAGATTGTGCTCAGGACCCCATAATCAAACTACAGTTTTAAATTTAAATTGATTTGGATAATCTGCTCTTCAAAATGTAGTACTTCACAAATGGTTTAACTAAACCTAAATGAATGAAATATTTCTCAGCATCTCTAGGTTATTTAGGTTATGTGGACATAAAGTACAAACATATGTAGAGTCCTGTGCAGTGTTTTTGTTTTCATATTATAGACATGCCACAAATTTAATTCATTAATAATATAAAAGTTTTGTGAGAGGTTGTCTAAACTAAATGCAAACTTTTCAGCATCCAAGTATTTTATCCATGTACAAAGGATGTATATTTGGTAGTGATTTTGATGCTCATTGAAGCAAGAATTGTTATGCTAAAGCAGGTCATGGTTCTAAGGTAAGTTAATCTATTTTTAGGAGTCACTTACTAGGTTTCCACGAATAATGGAAAGTCTTATCCACTAGCTGCTCATATTAGGTATCTGTGGGTGCACGGTTCTTAATTCAACTTTGAAAGGCAGTAAACCAAAGCCAACAAACCCATAAATCAGACAACTGCTAGGCCTGTGCCCCTGTCAGCAATTTAATTCAAGAAATTCATCTTGTGGTTTTTACTTTCAGTGAGCCAAGATAAACCCACCATGGGTTAAATACAATCGGTAGGTATTAAGAATTGACTTCTACATTTGTCACATCTTAATTACGCACCCATTGAATTGTGATTTCTGAAGTATTACTCATTGCAAGTACAGAAATGTGACTGCGATCAAATTTGTGCTGGTTTTGTGCTAAAGGTTTGTACAAGTGCTGAGCTTGAGCATGTCTTGACCTAGTTCTCATTTATTCTAGTATATAGCACAAAAATATCAACAACTAAATAATAATGCAATTCAGTAAAAAAAAAATTGTCATGAGAAACAAATGCACTTTGCAAACTGGAGTCACAACTTGTGTTGGAAATTTTAAGGGGAGTTCATTCTACACCTAAGCTGTGTGGAATCGTTTGAAGTTGACATGACATGTATAGTTGCATTTTTCACCATGAGAAGCAGAATGTTTAAAAAAAACATAGCTGAAAAAATTTGATTAGACTTATCTTGCTATAACTTAAGATAAACATTCAAATATATGAATATAAAAATATTCAAGCTGTTTGTCAGCGATTTTTTCTGAACAACTCACCAAAGACAGTTCTTGCAGGGACAGATTCCCTGTTTAACCAGAATGACACTTGTGAGAGAATAACTGTCATGATACATGGTAAGTAAGTTTGAATTACAAAGTAGCCAATTTTTCTCTTCAAGTGGAAGTGAGCAGTCATAACCACATATTCACCTGGAATGTATAAAACACAGAATTAAAACAAGATAACAGAAAAAATGTCACCCCACACATAGACATTATTGCTCAGTAATAGCAAGTGTAGGTTGTTCCTTCACATAATTTATCAATATGGTGGGCATAAAATGTTCCATTTAAATAAAATATCTTCAAAATATTAACATAATTAAGGCTAACAATACTCTAAATGTTCAATCTCATTGTTATAATTGTAATTTCAGTCAGTGAGATCTCAAGTGTAGAAAATATTACAATATCTAAAATAAAGAATCTATTTAACACATTTTTCTACAATATAAAGGGCAGAATATAAATATAAAGCACAATCTAAAGTATTATATAAATAAATGAATTATTTATGAACAAAAATAAAACATTATGATTTGAGCAGCATGGTGGCTCAGTGGTTAGCATTACTGCCTCACAGCACCAGGGACCCATGTTCAATTCCAGCCTCAGGCAACTGTCTGTGCAGAGTTTACATGATCTCCCCATGTCTGCATGGGTTTCCTCTGGGTGCTCTGGTTTACTCCCATAGTCCAAAGATGTGTAGGTTAGGTGAATTGGCCATGGTAAATTGCCCATAGTGTTCAGGGATGTGTAGATTAGAGGGATGGGTCTGGGTGGGATGTACTGAGGTTCAGTGTGGACCTGTTGGGCCGAGGGCCTGTTTCCACACTGTAAGGATTCAATGATTCTGAAATGCTAACCCACAAATTAGATTGGGTATTCTATATCTCCATCTATACATTTTAACTGTCAGTTGTGGTTGAAGAATAGCACTCTCACATCTGAATCAGAAGGCTGTATATAGGCTATAAATTGATGGGCAGCTTCAAATTTTTGAGTACAAAGTCTTGATGACACTTGGCTCTGGTTGGTTGGTTCTACCATCTTTCATGAAAGATTTTAATCGAGAACCCACCTACCCTCTCAAATAAATGCTAAAAATCCATGCTACTATTTTTAAGACGTACAAGGGAGTTATTCCAATGTTTTGACTGTTATTTATCCCTCAATCAACATTACTGAACAGATTTTCTGGTCATTATCATAATGTTGTCTGTGGGGACTTGCTGAAGCCAATTGACAATCATTATTACGGAAGATGTAGCGTTGGGCAAGCTAATGGAGCTAAGGATTGATAAGTCTCCTGGCCCTGCTGGAATGCATCCCAGGGTACTAAAAGAGATGGCGGGAGAAATAGCAGGTGCACTGGTGGTAATTTTCCAAAATTTGCTGGACTCTGGGGCAGTCCCAGCAGATTGGAAAACAGCAAATGCGCCACTGTTTAAAAAGGGAAGTAGACAAAAGATGGGGAATTATAGACTGGTTAGCTTAACCTCTGTAGTGGGGAAGATGCTTGAGCCTATTATCAAGGAAGAAATAGCAAGGCATCTTGATAGAAATTGTCCCGTTGGGCAGACGCAGCATGGGTTCATGAAGGGCAGGTTATGCTTGACAAATCTTTTGGAATTCTATGAAGACATTACGAGCGAGGTGGACAATGGGGACCCAGTGGATGTGGTGTACCTAGACTTCCAAAAGGCCTTCGACAAGGTGCCGCACAAGAGGCTACTGCACAAGATAAGGATGCATGGCATTAAGGGTAAAGTATTAGTATGGATAGAGGATTGGTTGACTAACAGGAAGCAAAGAGTGGGGATAAATGAGTGCTATTCTAGCTGGCAGTCAGTGACTAGTGGTGTGCCTCAGGGATCGGCGTTGGGACCATAATTATTTACAATTTATATAGATGATTTGGAGTTGGGGACCACGTGTAGGGTGTCAAAGTTTGCAGATGACACTAAGATGAGTGGCAGAGCAAAGTATGCAGAGGACTGTGAAACGTTGCAGAGGAACATAGATACATTGAGTGAGTGGGCAAAGGTCTGGCAGATGGAATACAATGTAAATAAATGTGAAGTCATACATTTTAGTAGGAGTAATAGTAAAAAGGATTATTACTTGAATGGTAAAAAGTTGCAGCATGCTGCTATGCAGAGGGACCTGGGTGTCCTTGTGCATGAATCACAGAAGGTGGGTCTGCAGGTACAACAAGTAATTAGGAAGGCAAATGGAATTTTGTCCGTCATTGCTAAAGGGATTGAAATAAAAAGCAGAGAGGTCATGTTGCAGCTGTACAAGGTGCTGGTGAGGCCACACCTAGAATACTGTGTGCAGTTTTGGTCTCCTTACTTGAGAAAGGATGTACCGGCACTGGAGGGGGTGCAAAGGAGGTTCACTAGGTTGATTCCGGAGTTGAGGGGGTTGGCTTACGAGGAGAGACTGAGTAGATTGGGATTATATTCATTGGAATTCAGAAGATTGAGGGGGGATCTTATAGAAACATACAAAATTATGAAGGGAATAGATAACATAGAAGTAGAGAGGATGTTTCCATTGGCAGGTGAAGCTAGGACAAGAGGGCATAGCCTCGAGATTAGAGGGAGCAGATTTAGGACTGAATTGAGAAGGAATTTCTTCACCCAGAGGGTTGTTAATCTATGGAATTCCTTGCCCAGTGAAGTAGTTGACGCTACTTCAGTAAATGTTTCTAAAAAAAAGGTAGATTTTTTTTGAACAACAAAGGAATTAAGGGATACAGTGAGAACGTGGGTAAGTGGATCTGAGTCCACGAAAAGATCAGCCATGATCTTATTGAATGGCGGAGCAGACTCGAAGGGCCAGATGGCCTACTCCTGCTCCTAGTTCTTGTGTTCTTGTGTTCACTAATGTGATTCTGACCTATTACAGTGACGACATTTCAAATTTATTTAATTGGTTGTGAAGTTCTTTGGGACATCCTGTTAGATATAAAAGCAAGCATTTCTTTTATTTCTGACCTCTTTTTCTGAAAATGTTCTACAATTTTTCTGAAACGTACTGCACTTTGATAATCTGGAATTACAGTGAGTTAATGCACCAAGAAGATAGGTCACTAATTTATCTCAGAAATTTACATTTAGAGCTTGACTTCTGAAATTGATAGATCATGAATGCAATGGGATTTGATTATGTCAGATTTTGCTTCAACATTCTGCTGTTTTGGCATCTTTATGCTAGCCTAATAATTAGAGTACTGTCAATCAGAGGAAGCAGTAAGTGGGACCGAACATTAAGATGTACTTGTGTCTGAAAATGTCACAAACATCAGAGCTGATTGATTTCAAGCAGTTTAATAGTGTAATGATTTTAAGCGCCAACTGAGTTCACATTTAATATATCTGCCACTTGATCTGCTCTTCAACTCAATCAGTCACTCAGCTCACATTGCCCTGTTATTGTCAATGTGATCACTACTGAATGCAGTATTTTGGACTATTGTTTTAATTATTAATTTGGCATGTACTAAGCACAGGGTGTGCTGGTGAATGACACACTTTGAATTTTGTAATAGCTCTATGACTTGGATTGAACTTGGAGCCCGTGTTACCAGATGAACAATGGCCCAAGCAATATCCTCAGCTATGGAAAGTGTGTGAAAGTTGTGAAAGTGTGTGTTGCATATGTCTTGATTTTAGATTAATTTCATGTTAAATTTAACAAATGAATTTGGTTGATGCTGTTTTCAATTAGTTTGATAAAATCTGGGAAGTAGCATTACTCCTGCTAGTTACTATAGTTCCCAATTCCTGACATCCTTGCAACTGGTACTTCCCCAACACCCACCACACCTCACCACCATGGACCAACCTGACCTGACATTTACCTGCACCCTCCATTACCTCAACCTGACATCCACCCTGATCTGAACCAACACCTGCCAAACTTCCACTCACCCTCCGAACTGACCATACCAGACCCAAACCAACACCCACTCTTGACCCCATCACCCCAACATGAGGTCTAACACCCAGCCCTGCCCATTTCGTCTTACTGACATGACACCTACCCCCAACCAAACCCCCAACAATAAACCCAATCCCTGAGCCAACACCCACCCCAACCTGTCCCCCAACTCAACCCACACGCTGTGAACCCCACAATGTACAGTGAATACCCAGCACCACTACCCTGACCCCGTCAACCCCAATCTACCAGACCCTGCTGGACCTGACCAGTCACCTGCCATCCATTGCGCACCCCCACCGCCAACTCAACCTGACCCTGCACATTCCTGACTTAACCTTCCAACCCAATCTGATACCAACCACACACCATGGATCCAACCAGAAATGCTGCTCAACCCGATCACCATCCAAACTTGATCCAACACGCCTGATCCATGGATCTGACCCACCCCCTGCGCACTGACACTGTGCAATAAAAGGCATATGGTTCTAACAATGGCTTTTCCTGCTGCTAGGCCTGAGGATTCTTGGACAGGCATAAGTCAGAAGGTCCCTGTCCAAGAATCTTCAGTGCAGAAGTCAGCAAAAGGTATTTTTAAGTGGATTGAAATTTTTCAGCCAATAACTTTGTTTATAATGAATTATATTAAATATTTACCAGGGATTCTCCGAGTCATACACAAAGTATGTTGTATCAAGCTTTTAGTGCACTACATTGTGATGGTCAAATTAGAGGAACTTCTGCATTAACAAAAGCAAGCTCATAAACTTTGCAAGTTAGGTTATTAGTGTAAAAACTTTGTTACTGAATAAGCATATAAAGTTCCTGAATAATTAAATGATTCCTGTTTAAAAAATAACTAAATGTCTGTTCTCTGTGTTACTATTATTCTACACAGCACAACATATATGTATAATATTCATTTTCACTCTTCCAATATAACTTTTAAAACCGAAATTAAATCATACAATGACCATCAGTGTAAAGAACATACATATACAAACCTGTACTGGATTTAATAATGACTGTTCCCACGCTTTGTCCCATTAAGTCATATTGATTCAAACGAGAGCCATCTTCAGCTACAACAACTGATTGGGATGCTCCATGTGTCCACGTGTACATGACCTCGGATGTTGTGTATGCATCTATTTTGGAAAGTGAAAAGGGTTAATTGCAGAATTTCTCATAATATGTGAATGCACAGAAGCAAAATTTGCACAGTTGACAATTGTAATAACACAGTTCATTGGTCAATCCACATGATCTGTCACAACTCAACAGGTTCTTGTTTCCCCTCACCAATTTTTACCAGACACTTAAGGAGCACCTAAACATTAGTGAGGGACCCCCCAAATGGATAACAGAAAAGAGTATACTAACAGAATTAACAGTAGCATAGTGCATATTGTTTTAATAGGCAATTATATTGAAGTTGTAGTATAAATTTGGTATCAATGTCAGAGTTTACTCTGCTGCAGAGTACAATGAAACTCTTAGAAAAGAGAACCTAACTATCCCTATTTCATTCAGGAAGCTTCAATACTGAATCTGGATTTAGAAAACATATCAGCAGGAAACACAGTGTGTGCACATGTTCTTTCTGTTTCTTTCTATTTCAACATTTCTTTTCTTTAGGGTAGGGGATTTCAAGACTAGAGAGCATATTTTTAAGATTAGAGGAGAAAAATTTTAAAAAAGACATGAGGGGTAACTTTTTACACAGATAGTGGTCCATGTGTGAACTGAAGTTGCAGAGCAGTTGGTAGATGTGGGTACAGTTACAATGTTTAAAAGACATTTAGAGAAAACATGAATAAGAAATGTTTGGAGGGAAATGGACAAAGCGCAGGCAGGTAGGATTCATTTTGTTTGGCATTATAGTTGGCATGGACTGGTTTGACTGAAGGGCCTGTTTCCATGCTGTATGACTCTGTGACTCTATAACAGAACAAAATACTGAAAGCCATTCAATGATTCATTTTTCTTTGCAATGATAAAGTTCAACATGCCTTGTTTAAAATCTGAAAAATCTTTACTTGAAGTTAACTATCAATCATCATTAACTGCTGCACTGACTCTGGCAATGCCTCTATCAATCAGATTCTCCTTGCCAATCAATCAGCACGCTTCCCTCATACAATGTAAATATTGGCTTTCCCTTTAACTTGCATTCTTCAAAATTGTCCTGGTGAGTACAAGATAAAAAGCATTGACAAAATGTCTCTATTTTCAACAATACATAAGAAACTAGGGATGCATATTGTGGCATTGAAGAATCAAACAGATAGTTGTTACAACTAACATTATGCTCATCAGGCTCCTAGGTGCCCGTGCAAAATTAAGCTATTAAGTGATAACAGAAGAGTATCATGCTCCAAGTGATCTGAGATAAGATGGAGTATGGGATCTGTATAGCCTTAGGTGACATGTTATGATGCATTGATAATATCATGAGCATGTTTCTTAAAGCTACACTACCAAACTGAGTGAGATATAACACAACATCCTACTTCTTCAGATTTTAAAATCTTATCCTACATAGATAAATAAGCGTATGCACAGATTATTATCAATTCTATAATTATATAAACATGTAAACAGCATTTTGAAGATTAACATTTCAAAATTCAAACCAAACCTTAAAACATTTGACAACTCATCCTGATCTGGTCATTGTATGGCTACCTGAAGAGTTGTGTTATTCACTGTTGCATTTCTTTGAGAATGTGCTTGTCTTACTGCTGCTTGCTGCTACTCAACAACACTGCACAATTGTTGGAATGTTGTTCCTCACTTTCTTCATATACATTTACTTTGGCATTATTTGTCTCAGCTGGCTTCTGCACTTTTGAAACTTTGGTCCCTGACCAGTAATTATTTTGTATGATCTAGGGCAGCATAGTGGTTCAGTGGTGGCGCACAGCACCAGGGAACTGGGTTCAATTCCACCCTCGGGTGACTTTCTGTGTGAAGTTTGCACATTCTCCCCATGTCTGCATGGGTTTCCGCAGAGTGCCCTCGTTTCCTCCCGGAGTCCAAAGATGTGCAAGTTAGCTGGATTGCCATGCTAAATTGCCAATAGTGTTCAGGGATGTGCAGGCTAGGTGGGTTAGCCATAGTAAATGCAGGGTTACAGAAATAGGATTGGGGGATGGGTGTGGGTGGGATGCTCTTTGCAGAGTTGGGGTTGGGCTGAATGGCCTGCCCTGCAGGGATTCCATGATATGATTCACACTTCAGAAACTTTTGACAGCATCCTAGTGTTTGTGGTTATATTTCTAACTCTCACTCTCTGCCTAGTTTGCACTTCTGACAGTTCTCCACCTGCTTGTTCATTGTCTGTCTCTCTTATTGTTAACTATATTGGAGAAAAGATATCCTGTGTGTTGGAACAGCTAGATAGTCAGTTGCTGAGCAACTTAGTTACACTTGCCTTTTAAGCATAGGGAATGGTAATCCCCTCTCCATTGATGTTACACATTTTATGCAGCAATACAATGTGGAAGTTTACCTTTGTTGCTCACCACTTAATGATTATTGATTTCATGGAATGTCCTATATATTTTCTAGACTGTTAAGAGAGGGGATACTGCGGTAACGATGTGATATGAGTCATTCCTCACATAGTACATGTGTCTGGAAACGGATTACCAGTGTGCTGTACTCCATTGTCTGACACTTCCCATTTCAAATTACTAAATAAACTGAAAACAGCAGACATTGAGTCAGTGCTGGTTGTATTGCATTGCTATATTAAACATTGGGAGATTTGCAGAAGTAATCCGTCCACGAGCAGACAAACTTGCCCATGCACTGTGAATATGTCTGTCACTACTCTTGTCCAAGAAGTACATGGCTGCCTTTGCACCTACAGCATATTTCTTCCTGCACTATTTAGACATTTGTATTTGGGTTTTAAGTTATTAATATGTTGCCCTTTCCATTCCTTAAACTTTTAAAGATTTGGTTAATTTCCTCATCAATAAAAATTCAGAGTCTTGAATGGTCTTCTAGTGTGGGCACCAAAGATTTTAGCATAACTATCAATTTTGAATTTGATCTTTTTTCCCCTCACAGAGGAGACTAGATTGTGCCATCAGAGTGGGAAGCTTGTGTCGGGAAATTTCCAGACTCAACAAACTCATTTATGGGGAAATTACCCCCACATGCATGGTTTCTGCTCTGGAGGAGCAGTCTGAGTGATGTGAACAAGTCAGGTCAGCTATTTTCATAGTGAGCTGGTTAGAAGGCCTGCCTCAGTTCTTTGAGACATTGTACTGGGCTAGGTCCTCTAACCCTCACCCCTCACATTCAACCAACATGATGTCAAACCCTATGATATCTCAAGACCCTGTGCCACCTACACCACAAACCTTCATACCACCTCTATAGCCACTCATCCAGTAACTACTATGGACAATCTCAAGAGCTATGCAGATGACAAAAATAATTCAACTTTTAACAATCGAAGATGGCACTCATTTGAACACACTTGATAATGAAAAGAATTCTCATCCATGAAACATGATCAAAGGATTTAAACATTTTAAAGTTGTCAAGCTGGTATAAAAACAAACTTCTATTCACAATTCACATAACTACAGCTAATCCTTTAAGAGCCTCTTAAAATGTCAACCACATTGTGACCTCAGCCCTGTCACCCCTTGCTGAGAGAAATGGTTTTGGAGCTTTTGAAACTGTGCCAAGCATTTATACTGGGCTCAACTGTGAACTTTCAAGAACACTTTTTTTTGCCTAATCTATACCAGTTGGCCTGTCAATTAAGGCACTCCAGCATGTGTTTTAGATTTCCTTCACTGATAACTGGAACCATTTTTCATGTTTTAGAACTTGAAATTTAAACAACTTCAAATCATGAAACTCAGTCATATCCATTCATTACAACAATTTACATTTCCTCCATAAATGCATGATGCCTACACTTGTTCATATTTGCCTTGAAATATGAACATGTTCATTTTTTAAAGGGTTCCACTGGCTATATAGATGAAAGCTAAGGCCAATCTGCACCCAGAAAGTGCTGCTACAAATAGATCAGGATCACTCAGATGACTGAGCTTGAGACAAGTTGTTGGCATGAGATTTCCATTCCTTGGGTTTTCTTTCTTTGTCTGTTATGTGCTTGCTTGCAAAGGTAGCTGCATTATTTTTTTACTTGGTTGCACAAGATGCAGCAATCCTGGACAATTTTTTCCCAGAACTCAAAGGCAATATAAAAACTTCCAAATGAAGTCTTTTCCTTCTACAACCGTGACAGTGCGCCCTGACTCAAACTTTCTGTAGAAGAAAGACTTTGGTAAGCCAATCTGGGGAATTCTGGTTAAGTGACCAGCCCAACACAGTTGTGACTGGCTCAAAATGGTGTGAATGATTGGACAGTTAGCTCATTTGAGCAGGTTGGTATCTGATCATTTGTCCTGCATTCAATAACTCATTGACTCATAGGCTCATAGACTTTTTCTCTCCACAGACATTAGGCCACTCATTCCATTGTATCTGCAGCAGTCAACAAAGACCTAACTACACTAATCACATTTTCCAGTTTTAGGCCTTTAACACTGAAGGCTGCAGTAATACAAATGTATATCGAAATACTGCTTAAAGGTTACAAGAGTTTCTGACACCCTTTCAGACAATGAGTTTCAGACTCCCACCACTTAGTGAAGAAACACTGTCCTTAGCTCAACTATTATAATAGGATTTGAGCCACATCTTCAGAACATGAGGGTGGACTGCTGGATTACGAGTCTGATGACATTCTCATTACCCAACCTTCTGTCACCTCTGACTTTGCTATCGGTGGCCTTGATCCTGAATGAAGGCTGCCCTTTGACCCCTATTAAATGCCCAAATGGTACAAGATGCACAAGTTTTTCCTAAAAGAGGTGATGCAGGGCTACACTGGCTTTGCAGCTGATGGCTGAGACCCCTACTGAAAATTTCACTCCTAATTTTCTAATATACTACTCTATAATATGTCAATTAGTGAATACAGCTCAATAATAAATCATGTATTCATGAAGCTTATTAAAATATTTCAAGCATAACATTTTAAATATTTATTCCATTAAACATGTTTCAAATAAGTATCAAACAATGGAATACTGAATTCAGTTATATTTATTTGGTACTTTTCTTTAGAATAAAATTAATTATTATTCTTTAATAAAAAAGGTATTAGCCTCCTAAAATAAAAGTGAACCTACTTCCATTAAAAAGGCCACTGAGGAGATGGCTTTCTTGAGCATTTGTCCTAATAGTGAACAGTACTAATTAAAAGGGAATTATGGTGATATTTTTTTTTTCGAAGCAACAAGAGCCGAACTTACGCTCTGAATAGTCCATACCCTCTGCAATTAAATTCATTAATTTAAGAGCCCGCACTTACACAAAACACCCATAGCAAAGAATAGATATTAAAACAAGTTTTTTCTTTTACTTACAACTGCCAAATTTTAGAGGACATGCATGAGCATCCATTGGGAAATCTTCTAAATGCATAGGACACTCAGCACGAACGGTCAATCTACAAATAAACAAATATGTGATGTAAATACCTAATCCATCCTTTGATACGATACAAAAGATTTTAACCTGCATTATTAAATATAGGTATTGTTCTTCTCTTTGAGTTGTGATACTGGTGTAATTACATCCAGATGATTGCAAGACAATAAGCTTCAGCAGCATTTTTCAGCAACAATCAAATATAAGTATCAGTGAAATAACAAATATACTTGAAATAGAAAAACACAACCAACATCATTGTAACATTTATAATACACAAGAAATAAAATACAGCAGGGAGATTTTTGTTTGTGGAGCATAACTTTGAAAGATGCTGATCACTCAGCAAACAGCCAACAGTCTGCCTGCACCCAGGCATCCAATCTGAGTCTGTGTAGCACTATTCAAAGTGATGCTCCAAGAACAAATTTTGCCTCCTGCACACATGAAAAAGAAAAGCAAGATCATGTGGAGCAGCAATGTTAATTTGTGTCATAATATTTCATTAATTCAAGCATTTGCAATTCATATTCCCGTAAGCACACAATCAAAGCTGTATTTACGTAGGCATTTTGGGGATTCTGTTGCTCCAAAGTAATAGATGAAGCAGTTTGGTTGCATTGGCCCAGATCATCCAGTCTCCAGATAGTCAGAGACCAGACATGTCAGTCAGGTATGCTACAGGAACCATCACGAGATCAGAGATCAATACATGGTTATCACTCCAGGAAATTTAAACTTCCCGCTGAGCATTAACCAATATATGTAACTCTCTGATAGTTTTCAACCCTGAGTTATAATCAGACTTAAAAGGATTCCAATCTTTTCACTCATAGACTTTTTCTCTATATAGACGTTAAGTCACTCAGTCCATTGTATCTGCAGCAGTCATCAAAGACCTGACAACACCAATCCCATTTTCCAGTTTTAGGCCCATAGCTCTGAAGGCTACAGTAACACAAATGTATATCAAAATACTGCTTCAAAGTTACAAGAGTTTCTGACACCCTTTCAGGCAATGAGTTTCAGACTCCAACCACTCAGTGAAAAAAGACTAACCTTAACTCAGCTATTATGATAGAATTTGAGTCACATCTACTTACCTGAATTGTTCACCAGAAAATGGTAAAGGAATTGAAACCTAGGTAACCATAAAAATGACACTCTTACTACTTACACTCACTCCCCGACTAAAGCCCCAACATTCCCCTGATATCTGATGCTCCCCAACACCCAACATGGCAGCTCATAACGGATTCATCCCAACACCCAATTTACCCCTCCAAAAACTAACCAATGCCCCTCCCATCCTCACAGAAATCTAATACCCTGCAAATACTCAACACATGATTACCCCAATACCCAAATACCCCACTTCGACATTTGTTTCCCTCAAAGTCCAACCCCAACTGACCCCTGGACAACCCAGCATTCCCCTTCCAAAACCAAATTTAGTCCCACTAACCTGAACCCCTTGCCATCTGACTCACTCTACCCCTTTTGCCGGCTATCAAGCAGTTGTACCCTGCCACCCACCATCCTACCCACTCATTTGTCACTCTACCCTCATCCACCTATCTGCCATACATTCTCCCCACTCACCTGCCCTCCTAATCCCTCATTTCCTTTCTGCCACCCTACTTCCTTATCCACTCACCGTCCAACCTCCTCAATCACCTGCCATTCTATGCCTCACTCACCTGCCACCGTATCTCTTATTCAATTGTCACATCACCTCCTCACCCACATACCTGCCACACTAACTGCTCACCCACATTTCACTCTTCCCCATTACCCACCTAGTACATCATCCCTAAAGCACCTGCCACCATACCCCCAAATTCCACCCTGCCACCTACCCTCTCATCCATTTTCCCACCACTTGCCCCTCATTCATCTGCCACCTGAGCTCATCAAACATACACCCGCCTCCTTATTCTTCAACAACCTGCCTCACTACCCCTTCACCCACATGCCACTCTGGACCCTCACCCAATTTACTCCTTCACACAGCTTACAACCTATACCTCCAACCAATCAACTGGCACATTACCACCATTTTCTCCTGGAGCACTACCCCTTCACCCACCAAACTGGCACCCTACCTCTTCATCCACCCACCTGCCATCCTAACCCCCTCCACTGTCTTACCTTACAGACTTATCTTCTCTCCTTGTAATAGATGCTGATTGCTGCTGCTCGGAAGATTCAGTTCATGGTTAAACCACTGTGATATCCTATCAATGCAAATATAAGTGGGCCATAAATTGCAGTGGCAGGGCATTGAACAGTGTCTGTCATTAATTAGAGTTGCCCTTTTTTTGGCATGGGAAAATGGTAAAAGTTCAAGCTACTGATGGTGCAAGAAGAACCAGAGCAACAGGACAACTATTGGAGTATCTCCTTATCAAATAAATTCAAAGAATGTGAAATTAACAGTGAAGAGAATGCAAGTAAAATTTGATTGGCCCAATTCAATCTCTAACCAGGAACACAAAGATAAAGATGTGGTGGGAAAAAAGGGTTGGACAAATAGCGACTGAGAGCAAGAGAAAAGTTTTAAATACTTAATATGTCATTAAAAGGGTACTTAGCGTAACATAACCAAAGCTTAACAGTCTATGATTAGCTCAGGGTGTAACTATTGTGCAACTGTGATAATTTCACATCAGTCAACACAGGTTAATAGTGAACCAGATAGCAAATGGTGTACTCATGATACAGCCCACCTCTGACATTAATTTGTGGATACCATACATCAGTTCCTTGCCTAAAGTTGTTATACCATTTGACATAAATAATGATGAGTGGCAAAAGCTTCTATATTATTTTGACATCAAATTATGGTACATTATTTTTAATAATACCTGCATCTCCTTGAATATGAATCACATATTCAGAATATAAATTGTTGTTCAATCTAGAAAGATAAACAGGCATGCATTTTTACTATAAACATAAATCTAATTTACTTTACACAGATAAGTCTTGAACCTTTCAAGTATTGCTTCATTTGTAATGATTGATACGTTTTGTCCTACGAATTTTTGAACATGGATACTTCTTTTTTCAGTGTTATCCTATATGGTATTTTCCAATTGAAGGACTTTTTAAAAATTATTTGTCATTAATCTGTTTGCATATTTAATATATCTGGAATGCTATTAAAGTCTTTTTTCATGAAGACTGATACAAAATATTCATTCAACAGTTTTGCAATTTCCTTACAGATGCTCTTGCTGTTTGGCTCGCTATTATTTGCAAGTTGCCTCTCAAAGTTTATTTTCTTCTTTATTATTTCTTTGGTCATCTTTCGTTGGGTTTTAAGACCTTCCCAATCCTCTGACTTACCACCAATCTTTACCCCATTTTATGCTTTTTTTCACTCAAATTGATATGATCCTTAACTTCCCAGATTAATCATGGTTAGTTTATTCCCTTCCCAGAATCCTTCTTTCAAGGAATATATTTTTGCTGTGACTTATGAACTGTTATTTTCAATGTCTGACATAATTTATTAAACCTGCCTCATTGCACATTACAAGATGCAAAATAGCCTGATCTCTGGTTAGATCCATGAAATTTTGCTCTAGGAAACTCCAAAATACATTGTGAATTCTTCCTCATGGCTTTCTCTGTCGATCTGACTGTGCCAATTCATATGAAGATGAAAATCACCTACAAGGCTAAGAGGAAGCATGAGGAAAGGATGGCGAGCTGTGGTAAACATTTTTCAAACATATTAATAGTAAGAGATTAGTCAAGGATAGCGTAGGGCCCATAAGGAGCCATTAGGATAAGCTACTCACTAAAACAAAGGATATGGTAGAGGCACTAAATCAGTGCTTTGCTTCTGTCTTTAAACAAATTAGAAAATGATGACAATGGCCGAATTGAAAATGTGGATGTTCAGCAACTGCACGTTATAGTGATAGATAAAGAAGAGGTGCTAAAAAAGGCTGGCAGCACTCCAGGTACAGAAGTCACCAGACCCAGATGGGATGTATTCTAGATTTCTGAGAGAGGCAAAGGAGCAAATTGCAGAGCTGCAGGCAAAAATTTTCCCAGGCCTCTCAGAACGGAAGATTAGTTCCAACAGACTGGAGGCTTGAAAATATGACACTGTTGTTTAAAAAAGAAACTCCAGACCTGTCATTTTAACACCAATAGTGGGAAAAGGGATGACGGCCATTATATGGGATGAGGTAAATGTACACTTAGAGAAAAATAAGTTAATACTTGACAGTTCTTCATTGTTAAAGGGATTGAGATTAAAAGCAGAGAGGTCATGTTGCAGCTGTACAAGGTGCTGGTGAGGCCACACCTGAAGTACTGTGTGCAGTTTTGGTCTCCTTACTTGAGAAAGGATGTACCGGCACTGGAGGGGGTGCAAAGGAGGTTCACTAGGTTGATTCCGGAGTTGAGGGGGTTGGCTTACGAGGAGAGACTGAGTAGATTGGGATTATATTCATTGGAATTTAGAAGATTGAGGGGGGATCTTAAAGAAACATATAAAATTATGAAGGGAATAGATAAGATAGAAGTAGAGAGGATGTTTCCATTGGCAGGTGAAGCTAGGACAAGAGGGCATAGCCTCAAGATTAGAGGGAGCAGATTTAGGACTGAATTGAGAAGGAACTTCTTCACCCAGAGGGTTGTTAATCTATGGAATTCCTTGCCCAGTGAAGTAGTTGACGCTACTTCAGTAAACGTTTTTAAAGATAAGGTAGTTTTTTTTGAACAATAAAGGAATTAAGGGATACGGTGAGAACGCGGGTAAGTGGATCGGAGTCCACGAAAAGATCAGCCATGATCTTATTGAATGGCGGAGCAGCTCGAAGGGCCGGACGGCCTACTCCTGCTCCTAGTTCTCCTGCTCCTAGTTCTCGTGTTCTTATGTTCAGTCAACATGGCATTGTCAAGCACAGTTCATATCTGACAAATTTGATTGAGTTCTTTGAAAAAGTGACACAGGCAGTGGATGAGGGTCATGCTGTGGATGTTGTATATATGGACTTTCAGAAAGCATTTGATACATTGCCACATGGTAAGTTTGTTAGAAAATTAGAAATGTTTGCGATTGATGGGTCTTTAGCAGCATGGATTAGAATTTGACTAAAAGATAGGATACAGAGGTTAAGCATAGATGGGCGTTTCTCAGATCGGAGACAAGTTTGAAGTGGTGTTCCCCAGAGATCAGTGCTGGGGACCCTTACTTTTCCTGAATGAAATAAATCTCTAAACTTGCAGATGATACTAAGCTAGAGAGAACAATGAATAATGATGCTGAGGGACTTCAGAAGGACAGTGACAAGTTGGTCAAATGAGCACACACCTGGCAGATAAATTTAATTCAGAGAACTGTGAGATAATGCATTTTGAAAGAAGAAACATCGAGACATTACAGGCTCCATGGTACAACTTTGAGGAGAGTGCAGGAGCAGAGGGAACTCAGGGTTCACGCGCATAATTCTCTGAAGGTGGCCAGGCAAGTGGAAACAATTGTTAAGAAGGATTATAGAATCCTTGGGCTTATAAATACAGGCAGAATATAAAAGCAAGGAAGTGATGCTACACCTCTACAAATCGTTGGTCAGACCACATTTGAAGTATTGTGTTCAGTTCTGGGCACCTTATTTCAGGAATGAGTTAAAGCCCTGGAGAGAGTGCAAAGGAAATTTACTAGAATGACACCAGGAATGAAGGTTTTAAGATAAAGGCAAGATTAGCGAAATTGGGCTTATTCTCCCCGGAGCAGAGAATATTACAAGGTGACCTTATTGATGTGTTCAAAATTATGAACAATTTTGACAGGATAAAGAAGGATATTCTATTTCCATTAGTCAGGATGTCAGTAATTAGGGGTCACAATTTCAAGGCTGACAGCAAGACAGCCAGAATTGAAATGGAGAGACACTTCTTTACTCAGAGAGTTGTTAGGATTTAGAATGCACTGTCTGTGAGAGTGATGGAGGCAGATTCCATACAAGATTTCAAAAGAGAGCTGGATATATATTAGAAAGTAATGAACTTAGAGGGCAACAAAGATAGTACTGCAGAATGGGACTAGCTGAGTCAGGAGCTAATACAGACATAATGGGTTGAATGCCCTCCTTCTGTGTTGTAAATTCTATATTCTGTGAATTAATTCACTGCCTTTTTCACATGCCCTTATTATGCTCTGTCCTTCAGGATAACCACTGTTAGGCAGCCAACAGATTACACTCATCAGTATCTTCTTCCCCTTGCTCCAACGACACAAATTCTACACCTTCCAAACCAAGATATCTTCTCGCTATTGTATTTATTTCATCCCATACATTTCCCATAAAAAAAAATTCCAGCACCTTTTCCCTTCTGCCTATTCCTTCCAAGATTCACACACCCCTGAATGTTTAGTTCCCAACCTTGGTCTTCTTGTAACCATGTCTCTGTAATGGCTACATGATCACACCCATTAACCTCTATTTGTGCCTTTAATTCACTTACTTTGCTCGAAATACTATGTCCATTCAAGTAATGAGTCATTCATTTTGCGTTTTTGCTATTTCTCACCCTTTTTGTGTTCTTGTTGTTTTCATGTGTGTCCGGGTGTAGATTCATACTGGAACTGAACATTTCACATCAAGAATCATTCTTTCCATTTCAATTTTTCTGAGATTCTTTTACTTTCATCATTTAATTTTCAGACCAATCATAAACATGTACAGGAAGCATTTTTGATAACCACTTTCTCCAATTACTAATTATGGTATGACCAATATAAGAAATTAAATTCTCAGCAGCAATGACAAAAGCGAACAAGTTGACTAACCTTCTCCTGAAATCTAATTCATTGAGTTACTTCTAACATTTTGTAGCAATGTTCAGACTTATACTGGACTTGTTATGTGCCAGGAGTATCTGTGCTGATCCTAACAGGCTCTTCAGGGTTGGAAGATGGTTTCCTCATTATCCCTTGGAATAGTGTTGAGCCACCTCAAGGGAAAACACGTTCTGTCAGTGCTATTAGAATGGCAAGCTGAACTTCCCAATGTGGGATAAACAAGATTTGAGTAATCCCAGTGACATTCTCTGGGGAAAAAAAGCTATCTAATAATTCACCATCAGGTAAAATGAGGTGGGGTCACTTCTTCAGACATCCAGACTATGACCCTACCTTGTTTCCAAATTTTCTGCTCAACGTCCTGGCATTCTTACTTTCACCAGGTATGTCAAAAGGTGGGAATCTGGAAATTTCCAAATTAGAGAGTTCCTGACTATACGTTCTTGATTGTTATGTTAATTGCCTTGTCCAGGACAAGTGGATGCTCTTCTTCTTTCAAGTAAAATGGATATTTTGAAGACCTGGATGCATTCAGGTTCCAGCCTCATTTGCTATCCCTCAGTGACACTCCCTTTAATATTACGGCAGATATGTGTCATGTGAATATTTTCTCCATCTTTTCATCACTGTTATCAGGTAATGCTTGCTGATACATTTTTTTTTCCCACTGCCACATTTCTTATGCTCCGATATCAATGTATCTTTAAACAGAATGTGTTAGTGGTAAATTATTGTCAGATTAACTCTGTAAATTACCAAAAACAACATGCGTTTCAGGCAAAGTTGAATTCAAAACCTTTTGTCTCAATGCTACAAACATTTGGAGCCCTTCACAACACCCACGACCACCTCCCACCATGTAAAGCCCCTTCCCAATCTATTGAAATAAACGTGAATCTTGTGAACAAATATTTGTATATTCCACTAGTAATAAACTAAATCCTATCATAATTTAAAATGTTTAAATTAAACGTTTTTTAAATTTATCAGGAACTCATACTATCCCATAAACCTATATTTAATCTGCCACTGCATTTTACTAAAGGCATATTTGTAAAAGCTATGAATTAGGGAGGAATTTTAGCTATTGAAATTCCAGTCAAAAATACTTTGCAGGGAATACCAATATTAGAGTTGAGGCCATAGAAACAGTTACCTTACTAATGGCCACGTTGTTTCCTTTGGTAGTACATCTTATATCATTATGATTGCACTGAATTATAAAGGCAAGCCATAATGAAAGAACAATTTTTAAAAATCTCACAGAAGATTTACTAACCAGATTTCCTGGAATAGGCTGTGGATTATCAATGTATAAATTTTCATTGACTACATCACAATTGCTAATTACAATGACCAGTAAATTATATCAATTACCCAGGATGTATAGACCTTCAAGATCTACTAACAAATAGACCACCATTGAAACCAATATGGTACTTAAAACATTTTACAATGTATATCATAAATATATCAAATATCTGATAGTGCAATTTCAGAATCACTGTCATCTTCATGTTCAAGTTAATAGCGAGAAACCATGCAAGCATCATACAAGCCAATGCATCCAAATTTATTAGAGCAGTCTATTCCCAATTCACCAACAATATCTCTCTTGACCAGAGGTAAGGAAGCATGAAAGACTAAGCTTGTGAAAGTTTGCATCAATTTCCCTCTCCTCTGCAGACAGTCATCTGCCCTCTGTTCAATGACTTTGCAGCACAGCTAAAATTGGAGCTCAGTGGAGCAGGGACCATAGATTGCAGCCCATCAGTCTTTGAAGCTGTTCCCCCATTGGTTATTATTATATGAAATTCATATTTATCAAATTCCTTCCTAAATACTATCACCTGTATATTTTAGTTTGCATCCTGTACATGCTATTAGGTAGAATTCAAATGGAAAGACCACCTTTGGAGCATTTTAACAGTACAAAACTCTAAGTCTATGTCATTTCCTAACCTATGGTGCTGAATCACAATGAAACAGAAATTTTGTCATTCTTTATAAAAGAACCACTTCAATTGATCAGCCGAAGATCAGGCAGTTGTATAAAACTGTGCTTATATGAAGTACCATAATGTTCCATTCTAGTGACAATATGAGTAGCTGAGTATAGCATTTTACATTCACAATTTCATTGGGATGGAGAGAAAGAATTGTCAACTACATAATATCTTATTATATTTTTCAGAAGCATCCCAAAAGAGATTCACATAGAAGAAATTACACTGTTGTTATGTGGGTAAACATGGCAGTTATTTTGTGCATCTTATTGAAGACAATGAGCTGTCAATCTGGTTTTGGGACTGTTGATTATGAAAAAACATTAGTGAGAGAAAACTTTTTCTTTAATAGTATCATGAGATGCTTAATGTACACTTCAACCACTGGGTCAAGCAGATGATTATTTTCGTTTAATATTGGAGGGCCCCAATCATAGCAATACAAGGAAAGGAAAAAAATCTCTGTTCCCAAAATGACATAAACAGCCGGTCAATGCATTAAGAAAATGGGTGACAGAAAATGGCCAACAAATATATAGCTTAACTTTTTTTGACATAAAGGACTGAGGGCAATTCAGTGGAATTAATCTTCCTTAAATAGATGTTTTTCCTGCATGCTAAATTAGCTACTATGAATACATTCAATACATGCTAACCAGACGAAACATGATTATATTAAAGGATTATTCCACATGTAAATTCTTCAACAATGATAGATAAGTAAATACTGGGAAAAAAATTCTACTGCTGCAAATCCGGAAGTAAAAATTGTTTTCTGTATTCTAGGAGGTGACACATTGCTAATTTTAAAGGAGATAATGAAAATAAATGCCTTTAATTATGTATAAATAACTTAGATTAGACCATAATTAGTATCTGTCTGCTAATTTTTATGATCTTCTTACACCACTCCAAAGTCATTGTAAGACCTTATATATGACATGGCCCGAGAAGGTCTTAAAAAAAAAGCTAGCAAACAGTTTTCTGAACTACAGGCAAAGTGACATCTTTTTATTTAATCAAACATGTCTCAAAGGATGACTAGCAATGTTTTTGGGAGTGTAATACTGTGGCATAAGGTTTTCTTCTCTCACCTCATTGTGTACAAGAGTGTTCCGTCTTCAGTAATCCTCAGCAATTTATTGGGCATAGTCATGTTATGCGCCACTGATTTTTTTCCATTGTGGAAGAACGTATCTGGTGTCCAGATTCTGCTGGCCATTAGATTATTTAAACGAAGTATTGTCATGGGTCCCTTGAATTTCAACCTTTCATCTTCCCAGCTCTGACGAAAAAACACGTCTATTGTATATTCCTGCAAAAATGGACAGATTTGAACTATTTACATTCGTGTAATCACGACCAAAGACATCACCATGAATAACACAGGAAAAAAATAATGAAGTAAATTAGGTTGTTATAATTAAAACAAAACCCTGTCACTTCCAAAATAATTCAATATCAGTTACATCAATTTCCATAATGACCATGAGAACTGCGTAATAACACATTCAGTTCTGAGGACACCAATTACTCCTTGATTTCACTGCTTCTCATTGAATCTTTTGACAGTATATGAATCATAAAATAATGTTTATGTATTAATATTCTTTCTCTATTGCATTGACTGGTTGGTTGTTAATGTATGCCTGATGACTACCTCTCTTTTTTTGAAACAGTAGAACAAGTTAAGTAAAGATGAATTACTTTCACACCACTCCCTAAAATCAGAGATGGTGCATTAGTTTACACTTCTGAAGATTTGATAAATATCACATTTCCAAACAGCTATCAGAAAAGTAAGGTCGTCCCTGGACAACTAGTTTTATTCTAAATGTTTTAATTAAAGGAGGGAGAAATAAAGCATCTCAATTAACTCATTTTTATGAGTGGCAGAGATTTTTTAATTTAAATCAAGAAAAATTTACACTTACCATATCTGTATCTGAAACAGGTCCAAAACTTGTCACGTAGATATCAGTCTTGACTTGTGTTATCCGCTCTGTGGAACCAAAATAGGAGAGTTATTATCTATCAGCATTTCTTCTGCTTCAAGCTACCATCAGGATTTTCCTGGACAGCAGCTTCCGTTGCTTTACGCAGGCTATTTTGTATTCTTCACCAACAGTTCAAACATTCATCATTCTCATAATTAAAACAATATTTTAAATAACGATTGTCAATTATTATTTTGTGTTGTCTCAAGTTATTAAGCATGTTAATAATTGCTAACAAAATTGAAATGAGGGTGGGGTACAAAAGAGCAATCCTTGCAAAAACAACATAAAAGTGTCTAAGTACTTAGATTAAAGAAACACAAAATATATCAATAGGCCTCTTTAGGAAAAAAAGGCTAAAGGACGGCCCTGTTGAATGACATTGCAGAGAATATGACCACACTTGTGGAAATTAAGGGTTATAAATACAAAATAGTTACATAATAGTAAAATAATATTTAAAAAGTCAGTAAAACTTATGAAGATGATTGTTTACTTGGCATGCAGTTAGAATATGGAACTCGCTACCTAATGGAGTGATTGTGGCAAATATATAAGAGGCACTTAAGAGGAACCTAGATAAGCATATAAAGGAGATAAGCATGGAAAGGACAAGTAGGGGTGTGGGTGCTGCATAGAAGCCTGCATAGACCAGTGATGCAGATGAGCCAGTTTCCGTGCTGTATATTTTACGTACTTCTAGACCGCAAATGTTTAAATCATGGAGAATAATGGCAACACGCATACAATTCAACCCATGCATTGAACATGAAATTACATTTAAAATTAAACATTCAACTATACACCAACACACTTGAACCTAAACCAAATTGTACCAACCTGTTCACTGAATTTTAACAATCAGTAATTTATTTTCCTGGTTATTTTGAAACCGCTCAGGATAATTGTCATCCTTCAGCTGTTTTGAGCACTGCATGATTCATATGTTACTCTGGTTAGAAGCCTAATGATTGAAGAAAAGGATCAGCCTTGTGGATGTCCCTGTAGCATCTCCCGTGTGTGAACCAATACAGAAAACCGTATTCAAGATGTGCTCAGACCAATTCCATAAACTTTGGACATGTTAAAAACAAGGTTTGTTTCTCGGGAGCAATGGTATGGCAATTTCTGCCTGTAAACCATATTCACCTTAATATTTCTGTTGTTCAACACTCAGCTACTAACCAGCATTTGTGCAACTGGACTTAGTTGTAATGTTATTTTGCAACATTAATTTGCTGCACCTTAGTACCAACTTGTTTCCAAATACTGCATAAGCCAGAATTCTAATTTATATCTGTCTGTTAATGCACCATGTGTTAGCAAAACCCATTACAGACCTCCCAAGCCTGGTCTCAGACGGTTGTCATATCCATCCAGAAGACTGTCGAGGATTCTTGTGAAGATTGTAATGTTGTTCTTGGCTTCATCAGACATTGCAAAGCTAAGAAGGAATGATTAAAAAAAGACAGGAACCAGATAGATGGAATTAAACACTCCACGAGTTCTCCTATTCCTCCCCCCCAAAAAATAACATATTGCAAGGTATCATGCAGCTAGAAACCCACGCATCCATCACTAGCCACTACATAACTGCATTTAAGAGAAAAAAATCTTTCAAAGATTTCAATCACATGTTGGAGTCCTGGCTGTGCAACAGTTAGTTTGCTGAGCAAAGGAATTACAATTAACTCAAAGGAACAGAAGACAACACCGTACAGTTTCAGTTAGGGTATAAAGAAAATTTCAAAGTTACACAGAAAACCAAATAGCGTTTCAAGAGATGAGACTGAGAAGCAACCCTTGATATTAAAGTGGAGGGAGTCCACAGGTAACACATTGTGAAACTGTAACAAGAAAACGAATAGTTTTAATGAAATCATTTTCCACTGTTAACTTTTTCAAAGTTGGGTCCCTGACCAATTGTGATGACAATTCCAAAGCCCTTACTTGGCTGTAAAAGACTGTGCGACGTCCTGAGTCAGTCATGAGAGATATGAAAAGGCAGATTTTGTTTCATTCAAATAAAGATGGGACGGAGACAGATTGCAAGGTTGGGTTTGCTGTAATGGTATCTGTAAGGTTTTCTAGAATGCACTCTGGTTTACTTTTTGGTGTCCATAAAACTATGTTTTAAATCACTTATTACATTACTGAATGTAATTTTAAAAGCATGAAAAAGGATATATTGTCTGGCATTTAAAAGACAACAGCTTCTACACTATTTGCGAAACAAATCCTTACAAAAATCCTTCACTTTCATTTCCATAAATTAATAAAGAGTCCTTGCTCTAATTTAGATCGTATTTTCATTATCCTCATCATTGTTATATTAGCAACTGTCTTGTAAACAATTTAGCATGAAATCAAAACACGGCTGATACTTGAAATTTGAAAGCAACCAGGGGAATGGTGGAGAAACTCAGCAGTTCCGGCAGCATCTGTGGAGTGAGAAACTGAGTTGACATTTCAGGTCTATTTATGTAAATAGTTTTGTGCATAGCAGATAGTTATATTTTATGAGCTTTTGGATGCCAGATGCCTTAAAATCACAATGGAAAATTTTTCAGGAAAAAAATGCTAAGCTCAGAAGCAAAGAAGAAACTTGCTCCAGTGCCCCAGCCTATGCCATTAATTACAGTTGGCTTCCTAATAAAATGCATTTTTAGAAATTGCAATTATTTTAATATTAGATATGAGGACCAAAGGGCTTTCCTTTGCATGGCTCCTTCAATGATCTGAAGACCTCTCAAGATGTTTTACAACCAATAACATACTTTCAAAGTTCAGTAAATTTTTTTTATAATAGTCGAAAACCTAGTGAACCAATTTTGGCACAGCAAAGTTCCTCAAACGCGGAATGAAACAAGTAACCAAATTGTCTATTTTAGGTATTAAGTACTAAAATACTTCCAAAGAAGGGTTACTGGACTTGAAACAATAACTCTGTTTTCTCTCCACAGATGCTGTCAGACCTGCTGAGTTTCTTCAGCAACTTCTGTTTTCATGTCTGTTATTAGGTGTTGTTTCATGAACCAATAATAACGAGATATTATCTCTGCATTTGTTTTTCAAATAGTAGGATCCACCTGAAAGGACACAGTGGTTTTACCTTTAGTTTAAAAGACAGATTCTCTAGTGATGCAGCAACGACTCCAAACCACATCGAAGTACCAGCTGAATTTGTGCGATCAAGTCTGTATCATCTTTACCTGTGACATTTTGTAACTTTGAGGAGACGATTAATAAACTTTTGGGAGCATCAACTATAGGCTGCTAGCTACAGGGAAATTCATTTTCCAGTAATTACATGACAAAATGCCGATAATAGCTGGAAAATGTTAAATCTACACTTCATGGAGATCAAATGTTTGAGTTGATTATACAAAAAGGTGACGAACAATAGAACAAGCAAAATGAGCATTGTCAGGCTAATATTGATTAACATCACATTTAAAAAATATGCTACAGGAATAATCAAAATTCATTTTGTATCTTGTTAATGTACAGTTTGCATGCATTATTGAACTGCACATTGCAAAGAACAAAACAACGTGTAAGTTGCTTTGATAAAATCCTTCTGTCATTATCTGAAACATTCAGTAGCGGACTTCATTCAGTAGTGGCCATCTTAGTATGTTTAAAAAATTAATTCAAATGTCTAGTATAAGCGACTGTTGCATGTGTGGTGTATGTTATACATCAACCTTTCAGTATTCAGGAACACTAATGGAAGAGCAGCTCTGGCAAATCAATTGACCTTTCATGAGAAGAAGAGGTCACGAGTCTCCTTTGCAAGTCGTATGATTTGTTTTGTAATACATCATTACTTTACGAAACATACACGGCTAAATTGTACAACAAAAATAGACATACTGAAGCAGGAAGCAACGTTCCAATGCACCAAGTCTTTGAGAGCAAAAATTAACGTTCTGCAGTCTCAGTATTGTGTCACTGGCAAGGGTGCCAGCTCTTAAACTGATACTTCACTTTTATTGAACTGTGAAAGGTGATCTAATCTGATCTGGATTATAAATTGTAATTTTTTTTACATCCTAGCCAGGCCTTCTTTTGTGGAACATTGTACAGCAACTCCATCTACAGGCCATGGGAATACTGGCATCGTGTTGTATCGTGTTCCACTCAATTCCAAACAAAAGAAAACAGAATTATCCATTTATTTCAAACAGAACCTCATTTGACCACACCAACAGGAGAGCGAAAGTTGTACGTATGTCAGGGGAAGGGGGGGGGGAACGGAGGGGGCAGAGGGAATTATCATGTTTCTAGCTGTCAGTTAATAAGAATGAGTTGCCCATCTCCTTTAGAAACTTTAGTGTGGGAATCCTACATGTAGCCTTGCACGAAGGACCGTATCAACGCTCTTAACTACGCTTCAGTTAAATAGCTACGAAATGGCAGGATGTATGTGAACAACATTCCATGATGCCCATTCGAAGTTCCTGAATATTGCAGATCTCTTCTTCGGGCGGTAAGATGGTTGGCTGCTTTTTTTTTCCCCTTAGTAACAACCACTAGCTGCAGATAATTTCCGTTTCCCACTTTCCACCTTGTGCGCGGAATAGCTCCACACCACTCGGATTAACAAATACTAATCCGTGAATCTACCGCTGTTATTAAGTTAATAACCGTCTTTTTCTTTGCTCCCTTTGTTTCCCACCCGGACAAAACCTCCGTAACTCGTTGTTAACTCACGTTATTTAGCGTAGCGTCACTATCCTGATATGGCAGGCTAAATGATTCTCGTGAGTCGCTCAAAATAAAAATAGACAGTCATTCGAACTCGTTGCCCATAGCTAAGTTCACACGGCACAGAGGCTGCTCACCTTGGGCGGAACGCTGCGTTTAGGAACAGAAGCCAAAATATCGCTGATACGCAGCTGGTGAGAGCAGTAATTCGCTCCATAGCAGTCCACGAAGCAAACACTATTAAATAAATAGTACAGAAATAAATAAACATATATATATATGCACATACAAGGTGCACCCTGACAAACCTATAAAGTTACTGCGTCCACAGGTACCCCTCCCCCCCGCAGCTGGAAGGGGCAGATTGCTACAGAACATTCACTTCCCGTTTCAAGTGAAATACTTAGAAACCCCCCTTTTTTAAAAATATGTATGGTGGAGGGTTTTTTTGCAAGCTGTCGAGGGTGCTGTAGGCGGGGAGAATGGCGCAAACCTGTGTGTAGGTTAGCCTTTGGAAAGATTGGAAATAAATAAATATATCTGCATATACATGTTAGTATCATTTTAGCGCCAGGGAGGCAACGGGCACTCCTTATGGTCGAACAGAAGCACCGAGTTAACCTTGTTGCATTTGACTGCGTTACTTTGCACGGATGTTTAGTACGGCCACAATAATACAATCGTTTTGCTTTGATTAAGACATGTCAATGCTTACATACTAAACACCTGATTGAGGTGAGCGGATCCTAGTTGTGCCACATCCGTAAAATATTCAAAACAGCAATCGAAGGAATGCACTCTCCAGAGCAATTACAAACCTTTTACATCGCTACCGAGTCTTTAATGCAGATTATGGATTGATCTCAAAGCAAACTGATTAAAGTCTATTGGGTCTCTGGCCAAGTATATAAACATCACTTGGAAAAAACATATCTCTCACACACATAAGAAATACATTAAACCCTCTTTTAACAGTCAGTGTATCTAAATAGATCCTCGATACGTTACCAGCTGAATGTGCACCGAGTTTCCTAAAAAGTAGATGCGGCATTTGGCGCTCCAAAATCAACGCTATTCCAAAGCAATGCTGTATCTTGCAGAAAGATAGAACAAAATACAAAATATGTACAATGCAGCGCCTAAATATTCAAACCAAACCCGAGCTCTTCTGCAGGACAGACAGGATAACGTGCACTACACCCAGCGGCGCTGAATGGATTAACTAGTTACAGAAAGACATTGGAATAAACCGTTTCTTACGATACAACGGTTATCGACTCGGAAAGTTTAAAGTGTAAATTACTAATTTGATTCCAACACATACACACAAACAACAAAGCTCCGAATGTTGCGACGCAACAACATTGCTGAAGCATCCTTTTAAAACAACAAACCAATGTGGCTTCTTCCAGTATTGGGACCGGCGGTTCTCACCTTACAAGACTGGGTTGGTGTTGCAAACTTCTCTACCGAGTTGTTAATCTGCTGACTTCAAATGCAAAACGCACACGTCTCGCTGCTTGTTGGCTTTTTCTTTCCCTGCTCTCTCTCTGATTTTTTTTAAGGGGGAACCAACGTCTGAATCAGAAGCAGCACACACACGATGCAATCTCTCCTGGCTGTGATCAGCATTCCCATGCGGGAGCCGTCACAGTCTCGCTGCCTTCTTGTACGTGTAGGAGAAGCGCCGAATTATTTCATTTACAACTGAATCTACAGGATGGAGGGGTACTGCAGATTGCAGGAAGCTTTATTCGACCGAACCTATACTAATGTGCCCGTGTGTAAACCGGATGTGAAATAAGCCATGACTTCAAATCAGGCAGATTTTTTTCTCTTTCTCTGGTTTTGAGTGAAGGAGAGAGGTGGTTCCCAACTGAACGTAAACACGTTAAGAACCAATCCGCCGCCAAACGTAGATGTTCTCTCTGCGCCGCACAATTTAATTTGTACTCGTTCATGTTAATCTATTGCTGGTTGATGGATATCAGACCTTCTTAATTTATAGTAAACCCAGGATTTGATGGATTGTTCCACGTTGGTAATTGTAATTTAAAACGCACATAAACACACACACCTACAAGTGTCAAGATTCATGTCCTCTGCCTTCAAACAGTGTGGTATTAAACACTGGGTATATTTAAGTAGGTTCTCACATGCTCCTCGTGAGTAAAAGGGTCACTCTGCCCGAAGCCGAATTGTTTTCATTTTGAAATAAATTTAGTGCAGCTAATTTGTAATCACAACACGTCAACTTCAGACAAATACCCAACACAAGGACCAATGCGACGCTGCTATTTTGTAATGTTTAAAACATTGTAATTTAGGACAGCTCATAGCTCGGCCTTGTCCCAGATAATAATCCGATCAGGATTACGATACAAACGAAATCTCCTGATGGTTCCACAGAATGAAAAAAAATCAACCAAATCCATCGTCTGATACGCATGCGCTTGTTTTGAGCCAGGCTCCAATGACATGGCTCGTGGTCCTAAACTCCGTCCCCTCCCTTTTCTATTCTGAATCCTCCAGCTCCTTCCAAACTCAGTGAAATTCGCGGAGGCACTGAGGGGGAGATTAAGACCCAGGCAAATGCCTTAAGAGCAGAAATTGCTGAGAAAACTCAGCAGGTCTGAGAGCATCAGTGGAGTGAAAGAAGAGTTAACGGTTCGGGTCCAGTGACCCTTCCTCAGAACTTCAGGCCGGTTCTGAAGAAGTCACTGAACCCGAAATGTTAACTCTTCTTTTTCTCCACAGATGCTGCCAGACCTGCTGAGATTTCCTAGCAATTTCTGGATTGTTTTTCTGATATCCAGCATCCGCGGTTCTTTGGTTGTTTTGCCCTCAGAGCCATATATAAACCGGATTTCTATGGAGCGGGAAGATGCTAAATCTTACAAAGAGATTTAAGTTTTCACAATTTGTTGAGGTCAATAAAATACACCAACAAATTTTCCAAATAGAATTAACAAAATAATATTTCGGCTTGAAGAAAGCTCCTAATCTGTCTAGGAATGCACTGCCTTGGGATGCGGTTGAGACAGATGCAATTGCAGCATTCAAAAGAGAATTAGACTTCCTTTGGAAAAAGATGAAGTGCAGGATTCGAGGGGGAGGGCGCTGGGAGTGACAGCACTCAGTGAATTATCCATTTGTTAGAATTAGGTTTATTGTCACATGCACTCAAATGAGTACAGTGAAAAGTTTACAAGTCGCCATTTACGGCGCCATCTTAGGTGCAAAGGTACCTAGGCACAGCTTAAGTACAAACTCTCTAGTCAATGGGTTCAGGATAGGCTGAACGAACGCTGTGATATTTAACTGTTAGCGATCGTAGAAGTTTAAGACAAGGGAAACGCAGTAACTTAGTAGTTCACTTCTTGAACTATTTTCCAACTGGGAAAGCTGTAAATGCTGTCAATCCAATGGGTTCTAAGTGTGGTCATCTGTCCAAACGCCCCTCCCAAGGGGTCCAGGTTACTGTGGCATGTAGCCTGGAATTATGGATAGTAACAGCAAAGGCTTCTTTTCTAAAAACAAATCTATTTTTCTGACCAACCTGTTCAGAGATGTTATTACACACCGCTGGAGCAGGTAGGACTTAAAGCCGTCCCCGTCCAGGGACACTTCTACTGCACCACAAGAGGGCCAAAAACCCTACTACACCTGGTATTCCCAAGCGGTATCCCATCCATTACTAACTAGACCTGAGTCTGCTTAGCATCCGAAAGCAGGCGTTTTCAGATTAGGATGATCGTGGCTACAATTGCCCCCAGAACTGTGGCTGGTCAGGAATCTCGCCCGCACTTATCGGTTACTATTGAGATACGTCGGAAAGATTTCAAGGTTAACCAGTACTCAACCTGTTAGACTACATTGTGAATACAACCCGGTTGGTCATTGGGACCTGGATTGGGACTTATACTGGGAGCTGCTGGCTCAAAGGGAGAGAGACGCTATCCACTGCTCCAGAGAAACACCATTCTTTCTTCAGATGGTAAAATTCAATCAGATCCAATTGTTAGATTAATAGGTTAATGCAGAAAATGTCAGCGGGAATGATTTTTGTCCCCAAACTTGATTTTCAGATATACAAGATACAGTGTTTGAGTCGATAAGTCCTAGGAGCATCCCAAATACACAGACCAGAAAGACGATTGATGTGACATTGCTACTCCCCCATCTCGCCGAAAGCATTCTTCTGGAGTTCTTGAATTATTATATAGTAGCACATCTGCTACACCTCAACCTGTCAGAAAGAGAATTGAGATACTTTCTAATCAGTTTGTTCAGGGATGTTATTACACACCTCTAAAGCAGATGGGACTTAAACCCAGAACTTCTGGCACAGAGGTAGGGAAAGGTCTAAGTAAGAAAGAGGATTGTTTTTGCTTTTGTTTATTGGAAGCAAGTGGAAGTTATGCTCATTTTGCTCTCTCTCTAAGTGGTTGCTTTAATGAAATCAACGTCCTGTTAGTGTTGACAAATCTGTCAGCCGAACAAAGCCCGGCTGCTACACACAGATACTGGCAAGTCCAGTCAGTCCTCTAACTAGTTAGAAATTAAAACAAACTATACTATCTAATTAATTTACGACGGTCTATATTCCAATAGCTAACATTGTTCTTTTCAGTGGTACGAATGGCATTACATCCATCTCTGATTCAGGTTAAATTCCTGAGCCAAGCAGAGGTGAGATGGCGATAGTCCTTCTCAACCATCTACAGAAGTATCGAGGATTTCCATCTGCTACTCACCGCACAATCACCTTGATGTTGGTCTTGAATGTGAAGAAATGAGGAGGGAAGGAGGGATGATGGCCAAGGCGTGTGGTCAGTTCTTTTTTGGGACTGTTTTACCCACGGCGTTTATCGCTTTAAGCAACTTCTACAAATGATTAAGTCAGTGGAGATCTTCTTCTATTAATCATAACATTATCGCAGGGATAACGACTTGTAATTGCTCTGCAGTGCCAGTGAAAACTGCATTTACAACTCTTCTGGGATGAGAGACTAGCGAGATTTACAATTTTCGATCTGGAGGCGGAGCAATGAAACAGCAGTGTGTTTAGTGTAAATAACATTGACTTCTTTCAAGGTCGTCGGAGGTGAAA